AAAGCCACAGTAATCAAGACAATTTGGTACTGGCACAAGAACAGAACAATAGACCAGTGGAACAGACTAGAGAGCCCAGATATAAACCCAACCATATATGGTCGATTAATATACAATAAAGTAGCTATGGAAATGACAGCCTCTGCAACAACTGGTGGTGGCAAAAATGGACAGCTACATGCAAGAGAATGAAACTGGATTACTATTTAGCTCCATAAAGAAAAGTAAACTCGAAATGGATCAAAGACCTGTATGTAAGTAATGAAACCATAAAACAAAACTCTTAGAAGACAACATAGGCAAAAATCTCCTGAATATAAACATGAGCAACTTCTTCCTGAACGCACCTCCTCGAGCAAGGGAAACAAAAGCATAAATGACCACATGGGACTTCATCAAACTAAAAAGCTTCTGTATGGCAAAGGACACCATCAACAGAACAAAAATGCATCCTACAGTATGGAGAATATATCTGTCAATGACATATCTGACAGGGAGTTAAATATATAAAGAGGTCAAACATCTCAACATCCAAAAAGCAAATAACCCAGTTAAAAAATGGGCAGAAGATGTGAAGAGAGAGTTCTCCGAAGAAGAAATTCAGATGGCCAATAGACACATGAAAAGATGCTCCACATCACTAATCATTAGGGATATTCAAATTAAAACCACAATGAGATATCACCTCACACCAGTAAGGATGAACAGCATCGAAAAGTCTAAGAACAACAAATACTGGTGAGGATGTGGAGAAAGGGGAACCCTTGCAGACTGCTGGTGGGAATGTAAGCTAGTTCAACCATTGTGGAAAGCAAAATGGAGGTTCCTCAAAAAACTAAAAATAGAAATACCATTTGACCCAGGAATCCCACTCTGTGGAATTTAACCACAGAATACAAGTTCTCAGATTCAAAAAGACATATGCACCCCTATGTTTATTGTAGCAGTATTTACAATAGCCAAGATATGGAAGCAACCTAAGTGTCCGTAAGTAGATGAATGGATAAACAAGAGGTGATACATATACACAATGGAATACTATTCAGTCACAAGAAAGAAACAAATCCTACCATTTGCAACAACATGGATGGAGTTGGAGGATATTATGCTCAGTGAAATAAGCCAGGCAGAGGAAGACAAGTGCCAAATGATTTCCCTCATTTGTGGAGTATAACAATGAAGCAAAACTGGAAGAACAAAACACCATCAGACTCACAGACTCCAAAAAGGGACTAGTGGTTATCAAAGGGGAGGGGTGTGGGAGGGCGGGTCGGGAGTGAGTGAGAAGGGGACTGATGGGTATTATGATTGGTACACATGGTGTGTGTGTGGTCACAGGAAAGACAGTGTAGCAGAGAGTAGGCAAATAGTGAATATGTGGCATCTTACAGTGGTGATGGACAGTGACTGTAATGAGGTGTGGAGGGGGGGATTTGATAATATGGGTGAATGTAGTAACCACATTTTTTTTTCATGTGAAACCTTCATAATAGGTATATCAATAATACTTTAATTTAAAAAATCATTAATTAAAAAAAGGATATCTACATCTTTAAAATCTTAATAGGTAATATCTTGCATAATGGGAGAATACTTAGAAACATTTTGACTAAATTCAGGAGAAAAACAAGAATGTCCTCTGCCCCTGCTATTATTTATAGGTGTTAGCCAATGCAACAATGCAAAGAAGTATGAATATAAAAATTGGACAGAATTTAGTAAAAGAATCATTATTAACAGATTATTTTACTGTTTACCTGAAACACTCAAGAGAATAACCAGAAAAACTAGTACTGAAATTAACAAACAGAAATAATAAACTGCTAATAAACTTAATAAAAAATATGTGAAAGTCATATGAAGAAAACTTAAAACATTCATGATAGTCATGAAAGAAAAAAATCAAACAAATGAAATTCTATTTTATTCTTGACTTGGCAATCTAATTATAGTAAAAAATGTAAATATTTAATTAATCTATAAATTCAATATGATCCTGACAAAGATACCAATAGGATGTCTTAGAGTTTAAACAAAATCCTAAATTCATAGATAGAAATGAACAAAAAAGAATAGACAGAAAAGTTCTGGGGAAAAAAAGAGTTATCAGAGAGGACCAGACATACTGATACTAAAAATGTTACAAAACTACAATAGTTAAAATTGTGTATTTTGGACACATGAATATGAGAACAGATCAATGGATCACAATAGATCAGTAACAGATACCAAAATATATAAGGGAACTGAGTCTATTAAAAAATTGACAATTTTAGTAAAGTAATATTATTCAATAACTAATAAGAAATAAAGGGAAAAAAGTAGGAAATGATGAAATAAAGGGAAAAATATTAGGAGAAAAGTAGGATCTCATACATTACACTGGGAAAAATTCTGAACATAGCAAAAATAGTAAAAAAAAGTTAAGTGATTTTTTAAAAGAGAAATAAGAAGTCAGCAGATAATTTTATTTTTAGTCTTGCTAAGTGCAGGGCCTAAATATTACATAAAATTCTGAAGACATAACTTTAACCACATAAAATTTAGAAATAAAAGCAAAACATGACTACTTTTACAATGCTTGCCATATTATTTTCCTAACACATGAAGAACTCACACAAATCAACAAGAAAAATAGCAACTACCCCATTACAAAATAAACATGAATATCCATATATTTCACAGAAAGAAATACAAACACATGAAAAGATGCTCAACTTTATTCAAAAAAGAAGTGCAAACTACTCTGAGACACCATTTTTATTCTATTAGTGTAGCAACTAATTTGTCTTGGTAATTCCATTTCTAGAAATTCTGCCTACAGGTATAATCTCACATGTATGAAAGGATTTATGCAAGATTATTCATTGTCATACTGATGTCATAAAAATTTATTTTAAAAGCCTAATGTCCATAAACATTGGCTTATTAAATAAAGTATGGTATATTCATCTAAGGATATTATGAGCCATAAAAAGAAACAATAAACAGGAACTTTTTGAACTGATATGAAATGATCTCCAAGCTATGAAGAAAGCAAGGGCCAGAAAAGTTTGTTTAGTATTCTAGCTTTAGGTTTATATAGCTTTTAGAGCCACATATGGCTCTAAAAGGATACACAAGAAACTGATATCACTGGTTGCCTCTAGAAAACGAGACTGGATGGGTGAGAGAATGTGGTTAAAGTAGACTTTAAATGTATAACTTCTGGACCTTTTAAAATGAGTTACTTATTTAAGAAAGACAAATCTTAAAGTTTACATATAAGAATAAATATCTGAAACGAAGAAAGATTTTAAAAAATGAGAATAGTGAGGAAGCATTTGCCTTCCACCTATTAAAACATACGACAAAGCCACTGTAATCAAAATAATATGGTTAGGTCAGTAGAGAAAAAGGTCAAGAATTTATAAATATGTCTCACTATATATGAAATCTCTATATATGATAAAGGCAGTGTTTTAATTCAGTGGAAAAACATGGTGCTACCAAAACATTCTGAAATAATACGTTAGTCCCTTCTCTCACACACTATTTAAAAGAAAATTTCACATCAATGAAAGATTTAAGTGTAAAGTACAAAAATAAAAAATAGTAAAAATGGAAGAAAATGTAGGAAAATGCTGTCAAAATAATGAGTATAAAATGGTGGTTAATGGGACAAAGATAAATTTGGAGGAAACAAAGTATAATATGAAGAGAATGCTTCAGTTCAGACAGGAAGAACAGAACTCTACTAACTCCAATCACACAGGAAAACATTAGCAGCAACCTGTGTGAGGGTGCAGCTCACCCGTCCAAATCAGGCATTTAAAGGTTGAAAGAGCATAGCATAAAAGATAGGTAAGGGTGAATGTGAAATTTAATATAGGCAACACATGTGCATTTGCTTGAGAAACTAGTTTCCAGGTAAAATATGTGTGAATTAAATAAAATTATATATACATATATATATATTTTTTCTCTTCCATTCAACAATACCAGTCATAGGAATCTATCCCATAAGAATATAAGTACTAGTACACAAGGATGACACAGTGATTTTGCTACACCATTGTAAATATTTGCAAAACTTGAATGTCCCAAAAGAAAAGAGTGATTTAATAAATTATGAGAGTCACGCAATGAGATATTATGGAACCATTAAGATGAATGTATTATAGAATATCTTCTGGCTTGAGAAAAAATCCTGAAATGTATATTTAAGTGTAAACAGCAACATGTACAGTACTATATTTATGAAATATTCATAATATTTTTAAAACAAATAGTGCTATGTGCATGTACTGGGAAGATTTCTATCCATTTCAGTTGAAATAAGCACTTGGAAGATCAGTATGTACTGCATAAATTTATTTTAAAGCTATATATGTTTATATTCACACATGCATTTTTAATATGTTTTTATGTTTTAAATAAACATAAAACAGCCTGAAGGGCTAACAACTAGTATGAGCAATAGTTAATGTCTACTGGGAGCACTGGGGTGGTAACTTTCACTTTCTGCTTCTTGCACTTTGCTCCTTTACATGGATTTATAATTATTCAAGGGCATAAATAGATTCTTAAAATAAAGTATTTTCAGACAAGTAGAAAAACATTTCAGGACACTAGACGTTTATTTTGAAAATAACAACAGTTGTAACTCTATATTTATTTTTACTGAAGATCCCAGTATTAAATAGTACTCTAACACCTAAAAGAGGCTTACAACCTACATAGCTACGTATCCGTATTATACATAATCCAGAGGGGATTTATCCACTAGGAAACTTTGTTTGCCACTGTGCCTCCCCCCCACCGATCTCAAAACAGTGCCTAGAACTATTTCTTGAATAAATGCTCTCAGTGTTTACAACTTCATAAATAAGCCTTAACATTTAGCATTACATTTTTTAGGCCTTCTTTGTTAATTAAGTCTAGAAATGACTTCTATTCAAAGCAATTTTACAATTTCATCTCCAGCCAAAAGTAGCTAAAATGCTGGTTTTAGAACTTACCAGAGGCTCTAGTTTTACAGGCTGCTGCCGTTTTCTTGTCTTCTCCTGAGCTTTTGTAGTGTGCTTAAAGAACAGGAATTGTGTATCGGATTCATATTCTGTGGGTACTGCGTAACCCAGTCTTCCCTTTGCTTGTACACTATTCAGTCTTTTAAGCACAGGGTTTTCCACCTGCTCTTCAGTATTTCCCAAGTTAGAGTTACTCTCTGAGGTGTAAAAAGACATCCTCGTTCCTGGAAAGGGTACGGTCAGGAAAAGAAAAATGCAAAGTAGAGCACAAGGCTTAGGGAAGTGGGACTAGTGGAAGTGACTTAAGAAGTAAGGCGAGCTGACGGGTTTTTCAGAAAACCCATCAAGATTACCCCCATTCTTTCCCTACTGGGCTTGAACCAAAGGAATGAAAATCAGGAACTGTGCCTGGCCTTCAAGAAGCCCTGCAGCTGAGGTGGGACCGAGGAGTTTGCATTTCCAACAAGATCTTGGTTGCTGCTGCAGCAGCTGATGTCACTGATTTGGGGGCCCCGCCTGTCTAGATTTGAAAGGATAGCGAGAAATGCAATTGATACGGAGACCAATGATTCTCACACTTGAGTATGCACAGTATCTTCTGGGGATCTTGTTCAAAGTGCAGGTAATTCTGAGAAATACAGCCTAGGCACTCGGGCAGAAACCAAAGGTGGGTGGGGGAAGGTGAGGGCTAAATCCCAAAAGAGTGCTTCTGGAACTTTTAAATGCATGAGAATCACTTGAGGGGCTTGTTAAAATGCAGATTCTGATTCATACACTTAGAGTAGCAATGTCCTAGAGGACTCTGAGCCTTTTGTAGCGGTCTTGCCATGGCCAGCACTCACACTCCCATCCCCATCAGCTAGTGGAGATACTTCCCTTCAAAATACTATATGTAATAGCACACAAGATCTTGAACCAGGTTTCGGCAGGCCCAGGATTTAGTCTAGATCTGCGCTGGCCCATCACAATATAATGTGAATCTTCTTTGCAATTTTAATTTTTCAAGATAACTACATTAAAATCACAAGAACAAATGAATTTTAATAATATGCTTTAACATATTCCAAAATACTATCACTTCAACATGTAATAAAAATAAAACCGATTAATGTGGTATTCTATTCTTCTGTTACTACGTCTTGAGAGCGCATCACAGTTCCGACTAGCCACATGCGGCTAGTGGCCACCACGGTGAATCGTGCAGGTCTAGATCTGACCATGTGAGATCTTGGACAAGTCTCTTGACATCTGTAGTCCTCACTTTCTGCCCGTCTACAGTAGGTAGTACGTAAACACCAAAATGCCTTCCCACCGAATTTTTCTGCCTCTTTGAGCCCTTCATGTTCTCGGAAAGCCATGCTTGAGTTTCAGCTCAATTCCTTAGGACTCACCGAGTCAGACTAGGGCAGCCGCCGCCGCAGCCACCGCTACCGAGGGTCTCCGGAGACAGAGAAAAGCCCAGTTCAGGAATAAAAAGTTGACTCTCGAAAGGAAAGTTTCCCGTTGCCTAGCAGCCACCGGGCCTCCCCCAGAAGCGCACTGCGCCTGTGCGTGATGTCGCCACGGCAACGCCACAGCCAACCACAGCTCTAGAGCCAGGAGCGCTCCGCCCAATTGAGCCAATCAATGTCTCTAGAACATTTTCTACGCTTCTGGTTGGTGGAGAGCCCGCGCTCGACCCTCCCGGTTCCTCCTACGCGCTGGGAACTGAGCACTGCCTAGTCGCGTAAATTGAGCAGCGCAGGAGGTGGTTATTTCGATTTGTTCTTTCGCGTGTCGGCTGTTCACGCTCATTGTCTCTCCTTTCTCCTGCAGCAATGTCTTTTCTGCTTCCCCTCGGAAACTAAAGACCGAGTACACGTTCGCTTTAACTTTCTCTGGTTAGAAGCATCACGAATCTCTGGAGAGGGAGATGCCTTGTGTAGACTGGTCGGGGTCCCGTCAGTAAGGGCAGTCTATTCTGCATCTCTGCCCTGCCCACCGACTTTCTCTCAGGAGTGTCCTAAAGGTCCCAAGAATGCAGGTTCTTCTTCCCGTCGAACTCAACGTGTCCTTTTAATTAATGTTCTTTTCCACCTCGAAGGTAATCTGGCGTCAGGCACAGTACGAGCCCCTTTTATTTGGTCCCTGGGCACTATTGACCCAAGCAGACCCTGGATCTTATTGTGGCATTCAGACCCACCTAATTAAGCCCCCAGTTGACTGCTGCTAATGCTATATGGAGGCCACCCCATCGAAGCCCAGCTGAGGCTTACTGAAGATTCCTTATCCCAGTTAATCAGAGGATGCAGCCCTTTCACTTGCTTTGAGGAGGTGTTACACCAGATAGAAGAGTCCTGGCTTTCAACCTCCCCTCCAAAGCGACATAATCACCGCTGAAACTCATTACCTACTTTTTCGATTTTTTACCTCTTTTTTTTTAATACTTGTTTCTTGTCTCGAATGCCTTGAATCCAAGCCCTATATGAAATACTTAACATTTCTTACTCACAACTTGCGTTTTCTCAGTCTTAGTATTTTCAGACATGTATTTTACATGCTAGGTATTACACCACCTTCAAGGAAGAGAATCATGTAACAATAGAGCTGGAATGGAGATTACAGATCACTTAGTCTAACTAACCTCACTTGATTAATAGGAGAATGAGACTCAGAAAGAGAGAGAGAAGGCAAGTAATTTACTCTAAGTAAGGCAGCTAGTCGTGGCAGAAATGAAACTAGGATAGAGGTCTCCTAATCTGTAATCAGGAAGTGGAAACAGCCAGGGAGTAACTTCAGTTTAGAAACAATTCAGAAAAACCTCACGTGAAGGCATAATAAATACTAATTCCCCAGAGATGAAAGGTACCCACAAAGCCAATAAAATATAATAATTTATATAATCTAGTAATGAAAAAAATTCAGAACCAACCCAATACATCAAAGGATAAAGTTATAAAAATATGCAGTGTTAGACATATCTAAAAATATGTATTTTATTTCAAATGTGCAGTGAGTATTTTAATTTGTTCCCTTCAAAACTTATGTTGTGGAAAAAAGGCTCTTGCTCCTCAGTCCCAGAATTTCTTTATTAGTAGAAGAAGGTGATTGTATTCTAATGTTAACTTATGCAGCTGAGAGCATTCCAAAAGCCAAGGAAAGGGAGAAGGTCAGGGTAGAAGACTTGGACGGAGTTTTATGAAGGTATAACTGTATTGAACCCTACTCATCAAATCTCTTTAAGCTCTTTTTTAATGTGGCAAAATGTCATCTTCTTTGTCAACTGAATACTTACTAAATCATTGCAACAAACAAGAGCTTTGTGTATAGCCTGTTGATTTCTTCGTAGTTCTTATAAATAACAATTTTTACTATTTGTTTGGTGCTCCCTATATGTCAGGTACTCTGCTCTGTACTTTCCATTCATTCTCTCAAATACTTTAAAAAAACCTGATTTCCATTCCAGAGCTCAAAAACTAGGCTATGAAAGGTTTATAAGAACTAGATTACAAAAGGTCACATCTTTAACAGTAAAAGTGAAAATGGTTAAAATGTTTCAAGGAGTAAATTAAGATTTATATGCTGGGCCCTTTGTGAAGGGCTTTTCACCATGACATTAATCATTGCAACAACTTTATATTATTTTAGGGGTATTATTGTATCTACTCCACCAATTGGGAAATTGAAGGTCACCCGACTTCCCAAGAGCACTCCAGAGGTGGGAAATGGCAGAGCTGAGATACAAATCCAGATCCATCAATTTAATAGTTAAATGTCTCTAAGATTTCAAGAGCAAGAATACTGACTCATGGAATTCTGCTCCTGGATATATAGTGGACTATGTTCTGAAAAATTCCTGAAGCAAAGCTCCTACGTATTTGGATAAACTCAAAGGCACATTATTTTAACTGCATCATGGCACTCTTAAGAATAAGAGAATCCTTAAGGGTCAAAACAACAATGAAATGAAACCAGGATGATTGAAAACATGGAAACTGTGGCCACCTTGCTGGGAACACCCAAACAAGGAACATATAGCTTTGAGGATTAATGCTAGCAGGGATAGAAGACTGGGCCTTGCCTGAATCTACATATAGTGGAGGAGATGAACTTTAAGTCGCCACACATTTGGGACCCCTGAAGCACCTTGGGCTAGAAAAAAACTGGCAATGAAGAAAGCCTACAGCAAAACCAGTATGACTCTACCTGCAGCACCACGTGGAAAAAAATTGTTAAAAATATAATAGTTCCCCCTATGAATTTGAAACCATAAGCTAGTTCTCAGCTCTGGATTCTGAATGTATACTGCCTATATGGTCTGGGAAAAAAAGGCAAACTGCTATTATTCATCAAGAGAAAGTCATCGTCAACTCTCACTTCTCGACATTCTCACAAGTTAGGTTCAGCCAAATATAAATTCACAATAAAAGAAACACCAAATATAGAATAAAGCCACCCCTAACAAAGTCAGAAGAACATATGACAGACTTAGCAGGCAAATAAATATTAGAATTCTTAGATATAGAGTATATCATAACATTTCTGAAATGTTCACAGGTGAAAAATAAAACTAAAAAATAAAATTAAAAAGTAATTATGGGAGGACATCAGCAGCAATGGCGATGGTTGTGACAAAAGTCTGTGCCTCCACAAAAGCAATGCATGACACCAGTGCCTTCAGAGACTCCGGTGATCACACATCACCAAGAATACAGTCTTTTAAACTGTAGTTTAGAAAAGTCAGTTAACAAATAGAACTGACAACAAGCAGCAACAACGAATCCTGAGGAGAGAACATATTCTTTACCCATTCATCCAGCAGTGGGAAACTGGAGGATTGGAAAGGAGTGGGGACTCTTACTATAGGGGTGGGGGCAATATACCAATGGGTGGGAAGACGTTGAGAGCCAGAGGCCACGTGGCTTTCCAGGGACCATCACTGGGTCGGTGGCCACAGTTCTAATGCCATATTCTGCTAGTTTGCCCAGATTGATTTATCACCCACAATAGGTCTCTCCTTGCTTATATTTATCCTAATATTAGGCCTTTGGTTATTCAGTAATGCTTTTGCTGCTAAATTACAGTTTTGTAACTGATAAAAAACATGTTACCATCCCAATTTTTGGCACTTATAAAGAGCCAACTTGCCAACTTATATTTATTATTCTAAATACTCCCTATTAATAGTCTGATAGAGAATCTTGGGGCTGTCCAATTGTTTAGACTTCGGGGTTCGTAATTCCATCTGATGATCAAGGTTCAGAGAGGTAATGTTAGTCTCCCAAGGGCATGAAGCCAGAAAATTACCAAGGGGAACACAGTCACCACATGACCCAGGCTTTCTGTTCCTGGATATTTACAAAGAGAAATGACTTGTATGTGAATGATCATAGCAGCTTTATTTATAATGGCCAAAGACTGGAAACAACCCACATGTCCATCGACAGGTGAATGGATAGGTACATTTCAGTATATCTGTGTCTTGGGATACTACTCAAAATAAAAAGGCACGCACTGTCAATGCATACAACAATTGCTGAATCTGAAAAACATTTCTGATCAAAAGAACCCAAACACAAAAGAATACACATTGTCTAATTACAATTACATGAATGTCTACCAACAGCAAATTTAATCTATAGTGACAGGAAGGAGATCGGGTGTTTCTTGGAACTGAAACTGGGGTAACTTTTTGGCAAGGGGGACACATTTTTTGGAGTGATGGAAATGTCTTATATCTTACTTGTTTTGGTGTTTGCAGAGGCATATAAACTTGTCAAAACATTGCAATGTTTATCTTGGAACACATGCACTGTATTATATGTAAATGTAACTCAGTAAAACTGAATTAAAATTATATTCCCAGTGTTATACTTCAAAATCTCAAGTGAGGTTTTCTTAAACTTACAGATTTCTAGGCCTCACACCAAACCTGGTAAATAAGAATCTTTGGAATTAGCATTTAGGCATATATACTCTTAAAATGCCTATGGATTAATCAAATGAACATCTCTGGTTAAGAACCACATCTGTAGGTAAAATGTATGGTGATTAAGAGATGTTAAATTAAATAAGTTGTAAAACAGTTTGGATAACATGATTTTATTTTTATAGTCACAGAATGTATATAAAGTCAATAATACGGAAGAAAAACAAGTTTATGAGATTTATGGATATTTTTATATTATGCCATTTGCTTTTCTGTATGTTTAAAAATAAAAACCATATACTGCTTTTGTATTGAGAAAAATGAGTTATTTTTAAATTAGCACAAGCAAAAATAAGAGATCATAAAGTATAGGGACCAGGAACTTGGTGGAGGCCAGGGCAGATGGATCAGGAGCACCGATGTAGTATTTCTCTAAAGAGAAAGGCACGCCATTAGATGTAGATGGAAGGAAGGTGGGAGTGGATTAGGCAAATTGGCAGATGTGGGGCCTGATTTCTTCTACTTCCCCTATGAAGCAAGAGTTAGGGTCAGATGCTGAGAAAGATGTGGTGGGAGAGGTAGAGGCTCTATG